CCACGGTTAGATCTAAGCTTGACAGCATCTGCACTATCCAGATTCTCTCTTAACAAGTGGAAGTTGATGGTTGCAAAGGGTTGACGTGCCTTCAGATGGCGCTCTCCGTCTTTTCTTCAGTGCAGGGATATTATTGGGCCTTTGCCAGCCATCATCTCGTGTAGGAAGTCAACCTGAGAAAGGGCTGCTAGGTTGAAAAAAAGCAATCAACTTCCAGCTTGAGTATCCAAATAAAAATCCAGTTCTGAAAAGCTTACTGTCTATTGAAAACATAGCATAGGAATGGTGAGGTAAAACTGTGAATTTCGAAGGCACTAGTTCACAGTATTATACAATGAATTTCCCAAGCCAATTCCGTAGACGGTATAAAAAGGTTCTGGTTGTTATGAGAACCATCCGCCGCCTTCTGCACACCTGTCAATCTGACCTTGGAATGTTTCCTGAGTCTGCCAAGCTCTGGTGGAACTGCAGAAGTCTCGTTTCTTCAAATTAATCCGCTCGTAGTCAACATCCCTCTTACTCCAATGACAGGTTGGAACAAAGAGGCCCGTAGCTGTCCACGCCTCTTTGACACCGACTTTGGTGAAAACAGGAAAATTTTTAGAGATTCCTAGTTTTCCTTCAGAAATGTTGCGGGAGTCATTTTTGACCTCCTGATGCGAAGTTGGAGCCGTTGTTGAAAAAGTCCTTCCTTGTCCCCAACAGAAAACCCTGGAATCCTTTTCTAAGGAGAACAAGGAGCTTCAAGCCCAGGTCACCCAACTCATGGCTGAACTGGACGAAAGGATGCTGCCCAGGGCCCAAGGTGAGTAAGGTTGGGATGGGGAAACCAAGGCCGGACCGTCCGATCCCAGCTAAGGTCATCATCCCTGCCCTCTTCTCTCGTGCGGCTTTGCAGGGGATGGCGTGGAAGCAGCCGAGTTCGTGGACTCGAGGACTTCTCAGCTCAGCATTCCGGAGGATTTTGAGAGTAAAGAGGAAATGGTGAGCCCCTCCGTTCTCCTCCCTCGCCGCTCGCGCTCACTCCGTTGCCTGGTTGGCCATCTCGAGAGCGGTGCAACAGGCACGAGGGCCACTCCAAGCCATAAGTTGCTTTTTCCAAGGCTGTCGTAATTACGGCCCGTTAAACCAACCGTTGTAAGTCGAGACGAGGACAGCCTGGGCTGGAAGGTAGCCTGGTCCTCAATCCCTGCCCCCTCGGGGCCGCAGAGTTTGAAGTGTGAAATTTAGTCGTGCCGCCCCACTCAAATCGCCTAGCCTTCCTTTCCTAGGTGGCTTTCTTGACCTCCGCCGTGTCCCAAGCGGAGGGCGAGCGCGAAGAGATCAGACACCAGCTGATGGAAAAGAAAAGGCAGTGCAGAGAGCTGCTGCAGCAGATAGCTAGCCTCAAGAAGGAGCATCAGCTGCAGCTCACATCCACAGGAGGTAAGAGACCCGCACTCGGGAGGCCCACAACGGCCACCCCAGCTGGGGGAGAAGGTCTGCCTCTCCGCAAAATATCTGAGGCTAAAATTCCATAGCAAGAAGACGGGGGGCCAGAGTTTATGAGACCATTCCCCCATCCACCCCAGTCATGGTGCAATCCTGGCACACGTATTTAATGCCGGCATGTTGCTCCTAAGCTTGGGCCGAGGCTCGTGAGGAGGGGAATTAGGGGAATCACCGGAACCCTGACAGGAGACCCCACTCCCCCCTTCCCCGCCCACCTGCCTCCTCGGGCTGTGGTTCGGCGTGCTCCTGTGGCACTTTCAACTCTGCGTCTCACCATTTCAGGCTCCGATGCTGATTCGGTTCCAGGAGAGGTTCACGAAGCCTTAAAAACCGCCATGGAGAAGCTGCAGGTGAGCCTTTCCGGGGGTGGGGAGGGGGGACCAGGACTCCGGATGTTGACATTAGGGTAACTCTGGGGCCTGTGATGCTCTCTGAGCTGGGTGGGTTTTCTTGCCGACATTTCATGACCCGACTAGGTAACGCTATCAAAAGCTAGAAGGGAAGAGAGAACAAACGCCACGTCTTTCTAACATTGATGCTGTTACCCAGTTGGCGAATGAAATGTTTTCAAGAAAAACAATCAAGCTCCGCGAGCGTGAAGGACCACACAGTCGTCATTGTCCTCCTCTTCCTCCCACACCCCCCATTCCCTCCTAGTACTGATGATGTTCCCTACTTACTGTCTAACTCGTAAAACATTCCTATGCCCGTTTTCAAGTTGCCATAAACAAGGGTGGGGGGAGAGAAACCTGAAGAAGCAACAGGGCAGTTTAAAACCAGAAGTACATTCCACCCTTATCTTACAAAGGTTGTAGCCTAGGCTACCGGATCTTCTGCCTGCAAAAGTCTTTAATTGGAGAACATGATTGATGACACCCAGCAGGTGATTGTGCTCCATTGGAGAATCTGATTTATGATACACCTAGGGAGGGGGGGGGGGAGACAGGGTCACAGGTGACTCTGAATTACGTATGTCAGAGTTGGCTTCATTTAGGTCAATGCCGACATGTTGCTCCTAATAAATCCTTGGAGGTTTTTTTTTAATCTTGGCTCGAGGCTCATGATTTAATTAGGGCAATCGCCGGAACCCTGACAGCAAGGGTCACGAGACAGACCACCAAGCTCAGAGAACCCCTCAGTTCAACCGCTGAGCTACAAATATTCTTTTCTGTTATGATAACTGAATTATCTTCGCCCAGGATAAATTCCATGTGCTAGAAAGCTCCCATTTTTAAATAATCACAACTCATTGTCATTGTCCCCTGTTACCTTTCAAGAACCGCTGGGTCTCTGCTTGAAGGCCCGTTTCGAAAACCTGCTTCTCAGTGAAAGCGACGGAAGCGCTTTCCCTCCCGTAATTGATCTGTTCCCGGAAGGAAGCTCCCAGAGAAGGGTTCAAAGAACAGCTTCCTCAATTAGCATCCTTCACCCACGCAGTCTCCTTTCTCTTGCTCCACCTTGTAGCTCCGATTCACGGACCTGATGCGTGAGAAGGCAGAGCTGAAAGAGCGCGTGGAAGAACTGGAGCACCACTGTATCCAGCTGTCCGGAGAAACAGACACCATAGGTAACCCTGAAACATCTGTGCGACCGTTTTAGCCGTTAACTAAAACTAGCGTGATATCATTTTTGTTTGAACTTGGGGCCCTATCTAACACAACGAAACTCAGTGGTGAAACAAAAAGGAAGGTTCTACGTTTCGGCAAGGAAAATCAAATGCGCCGGTGTAATATAGGTGGTACTGGCCTCAATAGCAGTAACTGCTAGAGCGACCTTAAGAATCCTAGCGGGCAACCATTTAAATATGAGCCAGCCATGTGGAGCAGCCACCGCCAAAAAAGCCAAGGCAGTTCCAGGCTGCATAAACAGCAAGATGCAATCAAGATCACGTGAAGGGTTGACGCCAATTTATAAGGCCTTCATAAGGCCACACTGCATTCGATACCGCATTTTGGTCGCCATGATGTAAAGATGTTGAGACTCTAGAAAGAGTGCAGAGAAGAGCAACCCAAGATGACTAGGGGACTGGAGGCTAAAACTTATGAAGAACTTAGAGTTGAAGGAACTGGGTATGTCTAGTTTATTGAAAAGAAGGACTGGGGGTGACATGATAGCAGCCTTCCACTATCTCAGGGGGCTGCCCCAAAGAAGAGGGAGCCAAGCTATACTCCAAAGCACCTGAAGGCAGGACAAGAAGCAACGGGTGGAAATTAATCAAGGAGAGAAGCTACCTATAACTAAGGAAAAATTTCCTGGCAGAACAATTAATCAGTGGAACAATTTGCTTCCAGAAGTTGTGAATGCTCCAACACTGGAAGTTTTTAAGACGAGATTGGACAAGCATTTATCTGAAATGGTCTGCCCGAGCAAGGGGTTGGACTAGAAGACCTCCAACTCTGTTATTCTGTTCAAAGTGTTGGCCCGAGTTGGAATGGATGAAGGGAACCCCTCAGCTCTGGGCTTGTATATTTATTCCCACCCTGGTTGTCTCTCCTAACCCTGCAGGTGAATACATTGCCCTGTACCAGAGTCAGCGAGCGATTCTCAAACAGCGCCACCGGGAAAAAGAAGACTACATCAACCGCCTGGCTCAAGACAAGGAGGACATGAAGGTCAGGCCAAAATCCACGAAACCCGGGCCGTTCCCATCAGGATTGGGACCCTGTCAAGTCGAGCGCAACCCAGGCGATACCTAGACTGCATCCATCTCTCCTTTTGCCACCGTCGGTCCTTATTTAAAGCATGGTGTCTCAGTTCGGGGCTACGGACAGTAACCCCTGGAGGGCTGTGAGTCTCTGCTTTGAAGAGCTGGCCTGCTAAGGGAGAAATTAGTTCCTTTGGAGTTCTCTGTGTGTGTGTGTGTGTGTGTGTGTCCCTGTGTATCACTGTTGTGTACGTGGGTGGGTGCGTATTGCTGCTGTCTTTCTACTCCTAGAATGAAGGCCCCCTGTTCCTTCCCCAAGTAGCTTTTCGAGCGACTTAGCAGATATGCCAAGAGAAGTGCGATAGACGGTGAAGCGGAAGACTCACGAGGACTAGCCCCTTAGCATTCCTAGCTCAGCTACAGGAAGTGGGGGAAGGGGACTTCCTCACAGGGCGAAGGAAGCCTTTGGTGCACTGGGAGGCCCCCTGTGCTCTTCTCCATTTAGGCTCCTTGTTTCTTTTGGTTGCAGATGAAGTTACAGGAGCTGCACGAACTGGTGATGCGCTTGGTGGGCGAGCGGAACGATTGGTACACCAAGTACATGATAGCCACACAGGCTGGGGAGCTCCAGCCCGGGCACAAGAGGGAGGCCAGCGCTCAGGCAGATGGCGTCTTCGAACCCAACGCTCCCAGGGTGGCAGGTGAGAGGCAGGAAACCGGGGAGGGGGAAGGATTCCTTGGAAGGGCCCAATCCTGGTAAAGACCCTGCTGTAGCCCCCATACCTGGGCTCCTGTCCGCTACCCCTTCCTCCTCCCGCTCTATCATTACCTGGCAGGGGGAATTCTGGGAGTTGAAGTCCACACGTCTTAAAAGCGGCTCAGGTTGAGAAGTGCAACTTTTAAGGTGCTCAGGTCATCCTTGACTTAGACACTTTTTTTAGCGACTGTTCAAAAGGCGCTGAAAAAAACGAATCAGGACTGTTTTTCACACTTAACGACCATTGCAGTGTTCCTGCGGTCACATGATCCAAATTCAGGCGCTTGGTTCACATTTATGTCAGTCGTAACATCCCGGGGGAGGGGTGTGTCACGTGATCCCCTTTGGTGGCCTTCTAGCGATCAGAATCCACGGGGAAGCCGCATCCTCTTCGCAACCGTGAACCACAGCGACTCGCTCAACCACTGTGGCGAGAAAGGCCGTAAAGCGGGGCAAAACCCCCTTAACCGAGATCTCCTTTGCCAACCTTAAATTCTGGGGTCGTAAGTCAAGGGTTATCTGGTCAACTCCACCGCTGAAGCCCCATTTCTCTCCTCCCTCTCACTCCCCCGCCCCCCCTTTTCTGCCTTCCAGACCTGCGAGAAGTGAGCCTGGCGGACGAGGCCGAACTGGACGCCGTCCCTTCACAACCCCACCCATCCCATGGCGACCCCCAGGGCCCCCAGCCCGCTCCTCGGGACCCCACGGCCCAGCAGATCCTGCGGCTCCTCCGCGAAATCCAAAACCCGCAGAATCGGGCGGGGCCCCTCTCGGAAAGCCCGTGCATCCCCTTTTTCTATCGGGTGGACGAAAACGACGAAGTGAAACTCCTGGTGGTTTAACCGGGAAGGGACGTCAAGGGCTCCAGGGGAGTCGGGTGGGGTGGCCGGACACGTCTTGGGTGGGCCGCGCTTTTTGCGCTGGCTGCGATTCACGCCATCATCCAGTAAAGCTCAGAGTTTTACGCCACCCAACCGCCTATTGGTTCCTCCCGTTCACGGCCTGCGAAGTTTAATTCTCTCTACCAACGGTTGCGTAGCCTCTTCCCCCCCCCCACCTTCGGTTATTTCGTCTTTCTTTAGATCCGATTTTACGCCCTTCTTCTGAAATCGTCCTCTCCCTTTTAACTCGCACGATCCACTTATCCGCCCCCTGTCCTTGCCCTTCCCAAGAGTTATCCGGCTGCCTTTCTAGCGAAACACCGTCTCTTCCCCCTTGTCCCAAATCCCCTTGTTCAGTTACCACATTTGGAGGGTCTCCAGGTCTGCTTGGAGCCGGACGGTTTTTGCGGGGAGGGGAATAAAAGCTGCGGGTTGTTTTTGTGTTTTTTTTTTAAACTGGACGTACGTTTGCATTAAGAGGTGGAGGGTTTTATTTATTCTTCAAAGATGCAGTAGGCGAGCTCAGAAAAAGGAATAGACTTATTTCAACCGTCTAGATACTTTTAAATATATTTTGATGGTTGTCGGTTTCTCTCTTCTCCATGTGGAGCTAGACGAAGAATTCACTTTATTGTGAGAGTGTGAAGCAGTGAAGCGGTTTGGTTGAAGTTGGTGGTGACTTGGCGCGCGTGGCGCAAGATCCCGTTTTAGAAGGACAACGGCACGTGTGTAACCAAAAAGAAAGAAAGGATTAGGCGGCGACCCAGCGGTCTCGATTTTAGCGTGGGTTTCTGCTCCCGGGAAAGAGGCACCAGTGAAGTTGCGTTTTGCACAAGTTTTCCTCCTGGGACAGCTTGCTAGGAAAGAGTTTTTTAGGAAAGGAGTTTGAAAACCATAAGAAATTTCCACTCCAATTTTCTAGCAAAACCGCACGTAGACTACCCACCCTCTTTCCAGGTTGTAAGGCAGAAGGAACTGGACCACCCATAAAACCTGGACAATTTTCCACCATCAGTGTTACAATTCTTCCCTCGGTGCGTGTTAGGTCAGGAGGCTGGCAAAAGTGGGCTTGCGAGCCGCTGTTGGCACAAGTGTACATATTGTATCTGTGTAATATTTTGTACATACCTTGAATAATAATAATAATAATAATAAAAAGAGAGAGAATAAAGCCACAGGCAGCATTTTTCTGGCTGCCGGAAGACTACCCTAGTAATCTTGTATGATATTTGGAAAAAATAAAATAAAATAAAATAAGAAATTAACTTTAGTTGATGTGGGTGGGGCAAAGCAGGACAGGAATGTGATTTACTGTAGAATATTATTCCATATTTATTAGGTGTGGGGTTTTCGGCGGGAAATGGGGAAAAGCAAAGCGAAGGAAGGAAAAACAAAGTGAACTCTCGCGTTCTGTTGCCGAGACAAATTATATCCTGTTATTAAAGAAATTGATCTTTCTGAATAAATCCGTTTCACTTCATCGACGTTGTATGTTGCTCTTCTGTCCGTCAGAAGCATCGGAGGGGGGTGGGGGTCGTGCATCCGGGAGGGCATTATCATTTAGTGTCTGTTTGAAATTACAAGGGCGCTGAAAAAAAAAGGTGATTTATGATCAGTCTTCTCACTTCACAGCCGTTGCAGCATCCCCATGGTCCGGGGGATCAAAATTCAGTCTTTCGGAAACTGGTTCATATTTATGACGGTCGCACGGTCGCAAAGTCACGCGATCCCCTTTTGCCACCTTTCAAGAAGCAAAAGTCAACGAGGAAGCCGGATTCGCTTAACAACAGGGTTACTAATTTATCGACCGGGGCGATTCACTTAACAACTGCGGCAAGAAAAGTGGAGCAAAACTCACTGAACCAATGTCTGTCTTAACAACAGAAATGTTGGGCCCAATTGTCGTAATTCGAGGACTACATTATCCCCCCCCTTTTTTTTTGAAGGAAAAGAAAAAGAAAAAATTAAGTGGAAAAAAGTGGTGTTTGTGTTCATACATTCCCTTTGAGATTTTAAAGAACCATCTGTTCCTTCGGTTGTGTTACTTATGGTTGTGAAATCGCTTTAGTTGTGTGTTTGGCTGCTGTGTGCGGTGTGGGTTTTGTTTTGTTTTCCTCAAGACTGGATCTGGTGTAATTTTGGCTTGTTATTTTTTGGCATGAGAACTACTGAAAAAGGAAACTTCGGTTTAACCCACGGGAATGTGAACTGAAGTGACCCCGAGTTAATTTAGATTGATCCTCAGATCTTTGCAACTTTTATTTTGCAATCTGGCTTGTTGTAGTTAAGCTACTCCCATTAATGGCTGTGTTCACGCAACATGTTTGGTCCAGTTGCCAAGTTAAACTGCTTTGCAACGATTGCACAATGCCCCAAGTCCTACGAGCCCCCGTTAAAACGAACCAAGTTGGTCTCCTGGAACAAACTCACACGTGGTGTGAAAGACCACCGAAATGTGTTGCAAGAAAGGGACGGCAAAGAAATTGAATCAATAATAAAATAAGTGAGCAACGTGTGTTGGATTCCTGCAGTGAAGACTTTCCCCATCAAATATGACATGCGAAAGAACCGAGAGAGGATTTTATTGAAACCATGACGTCTCTCTGTTATACAGAAATAATTTATTTCAGCCAGTGAACAAGAGATGATAGGTCACACACGGCATTACAAGTACTATCAGGACTGCAAAAAAAAAAAAAATCACCCACGATTTGGGATCAATAACCCAGCTGCAGCGACTGAATTACATTTTTATTAGGTGCGTGCCTGTGTGTAACCCACACCCACACCCACAAACACACATTCTTCCTACTCGAGTATTTGCTAAAATCCAACTGGAGGCATTTAAAGGCTTTAAAACATCTGGACACCATATAGATTTAGATCTTTATATATATATGTATATATTTATAGATATTTATATAACAGTAAAGATGTGTTTCATTACTACAATATAACTCATTGGCTTTGTTTAAAGTTCCTTTTAAGCAACCAGGAAGAAAGACGGAAAAAAAAGGACCAAAAATAAAAATAAAAATACAGTTTCACTAGAGTCGTATCTGATATGTGCAAGCCACAAGCTACGACAGAACAAAGCTGTGGGGTTTTTTTTGTGTTTTTTGTTTTTAAGATGTGCGTTCGATCATTCCAGGACAGGACAGCTAAGAGGCAGATAAAAGGATGGATGAGCAGAGTTACATGTCAAACGGTGCCTTTGGACTCTCCGGACGAGAGGGACTGGCTTTGCTAGGCCGGCTGGAATTTAAAAGAAAGAAAAGAAGAAAGACAAGGGGAACAAAAAGAAGGAGAAGGATACGGGGAGGAACAAAAGAATTAAAACAACAGTTAAAATACAGAAAGGAACAGACATCAAAACTCAACTCAAACTGCTCGGATCAAGGAACGTAAATTGGAAACGGGGTTGGACTTAAATTGTGGCTTTTAGAAGGAGGAGGAAAGTGGGAGAGTTTTGTTTTTTTTCCACATTTATTCCTAAACAGGTAGGTCACAGAACCGGTGCCGAGGGATGTCCAAGTTGGTGATAAAAATGTGTATTTTCTGCCCCCCCCGTAATGAAATACGTACATCCTGCATGCAAGGAAGTGAATGGAATCACCAGAATACTCAAAGACATCAACACACGTTTGAAGAGGTCCTTGTTTTGATTTTTTTTTTTTTTGTCGGAAGCCAAGCTCAAAACATTTACACAGCAAACTCTCTTTTTTTGGAAAATATCAGCTGGTCCGTTCTGGCTGAGAAGGAACTAGATCAAAGCTCGGTCTCTCGGTTGGAAGGTATCATGCCAGAAAAACTAGCTGAAGCCACCAAGTCTCCTGTTGGGTCTCTCCGAGAACGGAGGGTGACCTCTGAACGTTGGTTTTGATCGATCCGATCCGATCCTCTGGAAGTCTGCGCCATCCAGGAAGCCCTCCCAGGCCACCAAAACAGTTGGCCCTGCTTGAAAAAAAGGGGGGATCAGCCCCCCATCGGGCCCCCGTGGCTGCACCTTGAATTCAATCCCACTTCTCAAGAACATGAGAGCATTCCAGTCCAGGTCCTCTCGCTGAGTGTGGTCCTTCTCAAAAGAGTTTGCAGTACAAGACCATGGGTTTCTGTCTCTACTACGGTAAAGGGGACAAAATGGCTTACGTTGCTACGGATTAAGGGCTACAGCTGACCCAGGCAGGCAGGACACCGAACCCAAGACGAGTTGGGTACGTCGAGGCACGGATGCTCCTGTTAAGTCTGCGCTGCGGAGAACTCAACGGCATCCACGATTCATGCCCTTTGACTAGGAGGACTACTCTAGGCTCACAAGCAATACGGACGCACACTAATAGACAAAGGGCTCAATTCACTAAACGAGCATGTTGTTGTTTCTTTTTTAAAACCACATGGAGGAAGGGGCAGAAGAGCCGAGGGGATGCTGGGTTGGCAGAGTAGAGGGGAAACCCAGGCACAACAAAAACATGGGCTTGTCACCAGCTGTCTACAGGCCTTGGGTTATAAATCTAAGAGGGAAGATTCAGCTGGTCGGATTAATGTGGCTCGTGTAGGTGAAGAAGGGCCCTTCCGGCTGTGAAGGCAGAAGAGATAAAAAGAAAGCGAGAAGAGAAACACACAGACGGAGATTAGCATGGTGGCCAACTGCAATTGGTCATGCTTCTCACCACCTCATCTTGGCCAGGACCACGGATATTGTGTCCATGTCCCTGACGGCGGCGACTCATTTTAACCCCCTTTTCGCATCCAAATTGCTGATTAAAGAGAGGACGTTCTGGTGACCCTTGGATGGAATCTGGTGGTTGGTCTTCTGGATGGAATCCATCCAGGCTTTCCCAAGCCCCACCACTGGATGGTGGTCCTGGCCCCTAGATGGCTGTTGAGAAGCATGAAGCACAACAATGGCGATGTTTGTCCAAGCGCATGAAGAAAAATGTTATTTGAGATGGAGGTACCCTCTGTGAAGGCCTGTTTTTGAAGTTGACAGCTAGTCATCAACCTGATTGCTGGTCTGCACCCTCTAGGAGCTTCACCCATTCACCTGGCCCCACATGGGATTCCCCCCACACCCTCTTCAAGCCTTCCGAGCTGTGAGGACCACTCCAAGGGCATGAATGGAGTGAGATCTTTCCTGGAGGGAGAAGCAACCATCAATTATGCTTTCAACTCAAGTACAACTTGATTGGATTCACTGATGGACTGGATTCAACGTGAAATGTTGGAAAATCCAAACAGCATATTTTAGAAAGAATTATGGAAGAAAGTTAAGGCTATCTGCCTGAACAAGCCTTGACCCCCATCTCTGAAGGCTTCCAAGGCCATCTTCATTAACAAAGTGCCTCTGTCACCTATTTCCTGAAGTTGCAAAGAACTTCATGGCAATGACCATGTAATTTTCATAGGTGCAATATGAAGAGGTCTTCTGGTGTGTTTTTCAACTTCCCAGCCTAGGCTACAACCTTGGTCTTCCAAGATCAACCAAGGTTGGCTGGATGCTGTGGCCTTCATGGGCATTTCTGGTCCATCAACCTCAATTTACTTTGGGAGATGACAAATGGATTAAACGTGAACTACTTCTTCCAATGCAGCTCTGTGGACTTATAGAAGTGACCATGTGGCCTTTTCCAAGTCACCTCTAACTGATTTTCTCAGGGCTTCCCACAATCTTTGGTGGTTTTTTTTAACAGTAGGTCCCAAAAGGGCCACAGCGGAGCTTCTTCAGAAAGACCAGCTCTTATAAGGAGTCCAACAAAAACTGAGTAGCCATGCCTGAATTGAATTGGATGGACCAGAAGCCACGAATTCAAAAAGACCCTTTAGGAGAAAGACCAACTTTCACCTATTGGTGGGTTGTCATGTTGCCAGTTGAGCTACAAGCCTCTGATGTAAGATAAGGAAGGATCTAACCAGAGTTCTGGATGGTGGAATGAGATACATTGGAGATTAATGTGCCCAACCATAAACCATTGGACTCACTCTGGTTTTTTTTTTTTAAACACAAGAACAAAATCTCACGCCTCCATTAAGGTCTGGAGTGCACCTGGTACGGTTTGGGCCTCTTAAAGAGGACTTTATCAGAATTTCTATGAAGGGTTTTCTTATTTCATTCCAAGCCCACTGCTTCCTTATCCAATCTCTCTCTCTTTCTCTCTCTCTCTCTCTCTGTTTTTCAAGAACTAGTTAGAAAGAACATCAACAGCAAATGCAGGTTTTATGTCATGGTATTCCTTATCCAGTTTAAAAGGAAGCGAGTGTGTTAATATTGGGGAAGATGGGGTAAATCCCTTCTCTTATTTATTTTTCTTTTGGCACATAGACATTCCAGGCACGCACACTCTCACACACAAAGATTGGGCAGGGATTTGGCAATGTGAAAATGTTCCAGTAGAGGAACACGTTCATGCAACCCTAAGCAGAAATAGATGAACCCTCTTGATGCATAACATTTATGCTGGTCATAAATGTTGACCTTGGCTGCCAATGCTACAACTGTTTGGTTGACTGTCCATATTCATTTTTCAATGCCAATTTGGACCTCCCGTTTGTAGAAAGGAGGCGCTTACGTTCTTCCCAATGTCGATGGGCTATGGTCCTTAGAGGCTCCAGCTAGTCAAACAGATAACAGGGCATGTTAGGAGCTGAAATTCATGACTAATCTGGAATAATTCTCTGTTTCTTAACTGCAGTGTTGATTGTTGGGACTTTGAGAGGGAAAAGCCGCAGCAAAGGTGAGGCTCCCAGCATCAACAAACCACATTACAAAAGAGAGAAACATTCTCAAAGATCGGAATCTTGCAACTGCCCTACCTTAAATTCACATAAATGTATGAGGTCTATTCAAGGTTTTTCCCACCATCTGTTATTCTTTCCCTCAAATTAAGTGAGAACGGTGGAGTAAGTCCCTGAAACTTTTTGAGGGTGTTAGGGTGGGGTGTCCGGAAGGCTATGCAGAAAAAATAAATAAATACAGAGTGGGGGCAGGCTCTACAGTAGAGAAAATGAAGTTGGGTATAGGAGATGTCGGAAGAAAACTCACGAGGGGAACTGTCATTGGAGGCATCGTCTATGTCTTGTGTGTGATGAACAGGGATGATGGGATATATAACTGGACAGCACCTGAGTTAGGAAAGCATCGAACCCTTATAACAGATGACACTTCCGTTAGGGAAATATCACATTGTCATCTGCAAGCCCTGGAGTTGGTGGGATTCAACTGGCCGCCTTCTTGTTCTACGTAACATTGCCACACCACGGACAAACATGGACTTGATGCTGAAGACACGACAAACTTCAGCGTTTTTAGTGATGAGAAGATACACAAGAACAGCAAAGGACCTTACGGTTCTAAAGTTCTGCCTCAGTCCTTCAAATGCCGAGACGATGGCTCTCCATCCTTCTTAAAAAGAGGAGTTGAGACCCAAACTGCCCTGGAGTGCAATCTAGAGGAATGTTCTTCCACAAATGTCACTAAAACATACATAACCCAATGTTGCTACTCTACTGCAGTCTGGGTGTACAATTAGGAGATGAATGCTGGGAAAGGCTTTAAATAAACAGAGTACACACCAGGAATCAAAGTTGTAGGAACCTAGGTTGTAGTTTTGCAATTTGGGACCCCAGAAAGCAATACTCCAGGCTGAGACAACAATAGGTGGATCAAAACTGGGGACGTCACCCGTGTCTGTCTCTTCTCTGTCCCACTGCCCAGTTTTGTGGGATCTAATAGGTACCCACCACCATGGTTCTTCGTCTCCTTCCTACAAACGACGTCTTTGTGCTGCTGAAGGTTTCCCCGGTCCTCCCAACAGCCAAGAGGTTTGCAGGCCGGGTGGAGAAAGCAAGGCTATCCCCTACAGACCCCCCCACCCCCATGCTGTTCTAGGAGAGGCAGGTGTGGCACAAGGGCGAACTGGGTGGGGCGAGATGGAGAGGAAATGGGACGAGGAGACAGAAAGGTTAACCACACCGACTCGTGCATCAGCGGAGGCCGGGGTGAACACAGCGAAGAACGTACCGGTTTCTGCCAGTCCTCAAGGATCAGTGATAGTGATTCTGAAAAGACAACATGAGAGCAACAGGGCAGTTCAGACACGAAGGCAGAAGGGCGGAGAGCTTGGAGAAAAACGCAGGGACTCGCGTACCCCAACACAGAGGCCAGTGAGAAGACGCGAGCTGAGACCCATGCTGGCACTTGCCCCAAGCGCACAGAGAAGACAAAGCAGGTGGCAGTCAGAAGACACGGCTATGAACCACTGCGCAGCGGACACAGAAAGAGACAAAGGGTTCCACGCAGTTGTTGGGACTCAACACTCCCTGGGAGCATGTCAAGAGTGCACCCTCAGGCCACAAAGAGGCAACCAGCAGTGGGGTAAATGCACACACTGCATACCACAACCCTGCTTGACAAAGGCCTCATCATAGTCAAGAAGGTGACGTCTCTTGCTGTGACCCCTCAATTTGGTGTCAGCTCGGCATGGGGGTGACAGCTCACATAACCCAATGCACTTTGAGGGTCTTGGTTGTGTCGATGGAAGGGGGTAGGTCTACCCTGTGAGGGCAGTCCTTCAAAATACTCATCCCAAGTATTCCAAAACGGGAAGGCAGAAGGATCCTTCTTGGATACAGACAGATTCACACACAAACACACTGCGAAGTTTGATGTGCTTCTTCTCCATCCCACTCCGGGCGGCCATTTTTTTTTCCTCCCACAACGGGAAGAAAAAGAAGCGGGGGAGGGGAGAGAAAGAAGGACAAACAATGACAAAAATGAAGATGGTGGACTCCTAGCAAGAGGACAAGGCCATCTGGCAAGGGTGAGCCAACTTATTCTATATACAAGAGATGGCCTAAGGAGCCTTGGTGTGCCATCTCAGAGGTTGGGTTGTGGTGGTGAAGGGACGCCATATAGGAAAGGAATTACACTGGTAGTGGAGGAGGAAGAGAGAGAGAGAGAGAGAGAGAGATTCTGCTCCTACTTGATTTGGGAGATAAATCTTAAAGGTGAATTTCTTTTAGTAGATCCCTTGTGAGATAGAGTAGGCCGCAACCTCTACTGAAGGGCTTCCATCTGAGGAAAGCGGATGGAAAGCTGACTCTACTTCTCATGGAATGCCCTACCTTGGTGAAATGTTTAATCTCGTGATGACCAGCTGCAATACAATTACCTCTTGAAGCTTGTTCTACATATCTTACAAGGAGTGATTTGACCATTTGGATAAAAAATAAAATCAGCACAAAGCTGGAAGGAACCTTGGAGGTCTTCTAGTCCAGCCCCCTGCTCAAGCAGGAGACCCTATGTCATTTGAGACAAGTGACTGTCCAATCGCTTCTTCAAAACCTCCAGTGATCGAGCACCCACAACGTCTGAAGGCAAAGCTGTTCCACCGGTTGATTGTCCTCACTGTCAGGAAGTTCTCCTCAATTCCAGGTTGCTTCTCTCGTTGGTTAGTTTCCATCCCTAGTTTCTTGTCTGGTGCTTTGGAGAATAATTTGTCCCCCTCTTCTTTGGGGCAGCCCCTCAAATACTGGAAGACTGCTATCAAGACACCCCTAGTTCTTCTTTTCTCTAGACTAGCCCAACCCAAATCCTGCAAATATGGGAGGGGACCTGCAAATTCTTTTTCCATACTAGCTGGAATGTAGAGGTTCCAGAACATCTCTAGAGCCCAACGACAGAGTGACCCCCTCACATTTCTTTCATGGTACGTGGGAGAATTCGGGGAGAGGAGGATCAAGCTAACGGCAACTTCTGACATGTGACCCAAACTTTCATGGCGGGTTGTGGGGCTACAGAATGGGGCAGTTGGTTTATGTGCCTGGAGGGAGGGAGACCCATTGATTTCAGCCCCTCTGGAGTCTCCTGCCTGTATATAGAATATATAATCTGAATGAAGGGATGGAAAACAGAGAAATTGAGGAAGAGAATGGAAACAGACCCCGGAGAGGACGGACACTGAAATTCAGCCCAAATGGAAATAAAGGATTGTCCACAAGAAAGGATGAAAGGAAGAAAAAAAAAAAAAGGAACCGGAAAATGAGGTGAGATGGAGGAAAAATCAAAACAAAGCTTGCACGAAAGTAGCAGGACAAGCAAACAACCAGAGAGACGGACAAAGCAAAAGAACAAAGGAACAGAATAATCCTCTAGGCATCTGGAAAAACAAGGCACCAAATGGGAGTGCTGTGGGTTGAAACAACCATTAGCCCAACACAACGCAGCTTGTTCAGCATAAACCAGCATCTTGTTCCATTTCTAACTCATCCCCTTCTGTGCTACGGAACGTCAGGCAAAACCTCAGGCAGCCTAAGATTTGAGTATGTATATATATATATATATGGCTTTGCAAAGGTAGAAAAACTTGGGAATGTTTATGTATATATTTATATATATGTAAACATTCCCAAGTTTTTCTACCTTTGCAAAGCCAGCAGGAGTGTTACATTTAAAGTTGAAAGCAAAGCTAGCCCCCATTCCCAGTTACCACGATGGTGAAAAAGTAACCCATTGCCACCACTCCTCGCATTGACGGAGCAAAGGAAACTGAAATAAGGTGACAAGAGCAGTTGGGGTCCAACTTGGTGCCTGTTTCGTTGCCAGTCCCAACTCTGGTCGCTAAGCGAGGACTCCCTCTAGTCTTCATACAGCTGATCAAAGAAGCAGCAATCAGAAAGATGCGCCTCCTTGAGATAACCCCAAACTTTGTAAGCGAGGGCAAAGAGGGAAAGGGAAACAGAAAAATTGGACGTTTGAGGCCGTGGCCTCGTTCTCTTGACTTTTCTAAAATCGCATAAGCATCGGAAGCGTTTACAAATTCTGGAGAATCCATGGCTAACTATGAGGAATAAGCAAGAGGTATGAAATTTCCCTCCTCGAGAACCAGGAAACGTTGAATTCTGCACTTACCTCTAGGAGTTTTTCTTTGCAACCAAATTATCAAAAGTGCAAAACACAGATATTGCTTTACAAAACCCTGCTTCGTCTCGGTACAGTTCAACTGAACAGCAAACCAAAAACAATTTGATGCATGTAAAGGCAAAAATCCCACCGCAAAGAGGCCTTGTTGCCACTGGATCTAGAACAATTGACTTCTCTTAAATGTGCCTGATTCCCCGGAATTGGATTACTATTTTAATTCAGCAGGACATCTGTACTCCAAGACTACAGACTTTGGGCTGTTCCCACAAAGAAACATGTCGCGGTAATACAAGGCCATTCCTGTTTTGCAGGACAGAATTCTTCTACACTTCATTGTACAATAACATATTTGGCTTTGTGTATGTGTGTGTGTATATCTTTGGCTTTTGTGTTTTTCCAGGTGGAAGTTTGCAAGATTTTCCCCAAGAAGAAAGGGTGGATCTCATCTGAAGATGAGATCATCCCACTTTAGATTCTGCCTTCTGCTTAAAACCTGACAGTTTTTTGTGGCCCGCCAGCTGCCAGCAGAGCTGGCGGCAGATTCGGAGGTGGGGGAAGAACTTGGGCCAGCTCTGGAACCTGGGGAAGGTTCTGATGGATGCTCAGCATCGAACACAGAGATAGAGCCAGGGTCGTCCAGCATTTCCCAGCCACCAGAGAGGCAACTGCCTTTGGAGTCAGAGTTGAGTGAGGAGGAGGAATAGCTGGGGCCTGTTCCAGATGCGTGTATGCGCAGAGCTGTTAGGAGAGGGGAACAACGGAGGACAATGAGCTAGACTCAGGAAACGAAACAAATGTGGACGCTGACTGGCCCTTCCCTGGCTGGGGAATAACTAGGAGGAAAGGGGAGTGGTTTCATTGTCACAGACAACCATTCGCATTTCTGGAAGTTTGCTCCTTGTCTGTTTTGTGCGACAAAGACTGCCTTGCCAGAACTGAGGTTTGTCTATTTCTCTGTGTGAACTGACTTAATTTGCAGCCTCCCGGCTGGGAGCTAGCAACCTTGCATTTATCATAATGAGCTGATATGGACTATTGTTTCAGTTAACTTCTTGCAGGACTCTTGCCTGCACTTTCTGTTGGTGAATGCAGCTATTGTTGTGGTTAGCTGGCAGCAGATGGGGACAGCTGAGGAGAGCGAGGACTCAGATGAGGAGCCAGGATCATTAGGGACTGGACTGCTGCCTTCCAAGATTGTGGGGGCTGGCAGCAGTGATGAGGTTCCCGAGGAACCTGTGCCAAGTGCACGCAGGGCTGCTCGCAGGAAAGAGCAGCTGCAGCAGCACAGGCGATTCAGGAGTAAGGCTGCAAGGTAACGTCCCCTCCTTCAAGAAGATAAAAGCCAGCTGTGAATCGGACGTTCTTTGCAGGAAGCAAAGACGTTTTGAAACTCAGCCTCGTGGACATTACAGTATCTTAAGTTGGTATTTGAAGACTCTTCTGCTGTGAAATATTTCTTATCTGTGATTCTTGCACAGTTTTGGTGAGGTTTGTGTTTATCAAAGTTCATTAGTTTGCAGCAGCCTTTTAACCGGGGATTCGTAAGACTCATTAAAAGGTTTCTGTTCCCTTTGGTTCGTGTTTGTTTTGTTGGAAAAGAGTTTGGGTCAGAACAGCGATTCCCAATGTGTAAATAAAGAAGGGGTGTTTTTTTTTGGTGGGGAGTCTGACTTCCTGCTTCTGTGAAGCCTGGGCCAAATGGGAAATCCTTTTGTCATTCAACAACACAACTCACCCACTTCCCAAAGGATCCTATAAGTACCCAGGACAGCAAGCATTGGCCCCCGTTGTTTACAAGTGATGCAACACAACAATTTGGTTAAAGGACGCCCATTCTAAAACTCCCGGAAATAAAGTTGGTTTGAGTTCCCCTGCCTATCGTGCGTGGCCTGGTCTCACCTACCTTGGGACCCCTGGGGGCGCGCGGTTGGGCCGCGAGGGGACTTGCGGGGGTGGCCCAAAAGGATCAGGAGAGGCCCCCGGCCTGGAAGGCACAGGGGGGGCACCACCGAGGCTGGGTCCACCAGCAGGCGGAGGTCCAGGAGCTGGTCCCCGCGATCCAGGTCTGGCGGGAGGGACTGCCGGCGCTCTTCTCTGCGGCGTTGGGCTGGAGGTGGGAGACCTGCCAAGGGAGAGAACGGGTCAGCTGGCGGGGTCCTCAGCGGAGACGCCCCGGATTCCGGGAACGGGTGGTCCTCGGCTTGCAACGGTTTGAAAAAGGTGACTTATACTTATGGCTGTTTTTCACACGGACGACCCAAATAGCATTCAAGGGAGGTGAAGGCGGTCGGATTCCGGGAACGGGTGGTCCTCAGCTTGCAACGGTTCGAAAAGGGTGACTTATACTTATGACCCTTTTTCACACTGATGACCGTTGCAGCCTCCCCGTCATCACAGTGGAGACGTTTGGCAGCTGATGCATATTTGTGATGGCCGCAGCATCCGCGATCCTCCCCTTTGTGACCTCCTGACAACAAGGGAGCCAGATTCGCTTAACAAATGGGTTACTCATTTTAACAACCGCAGGGATTCGCTTAATAAACTGTTTCAAGAGAGGTCGCAAAATGGGTGGCAAAACTCACTTAAGAAATGTCTCACTCAGCAACAGAATCCAGATTCGCTTCCCAACCGGGTTACTCGCCGACCAGCTGCAGTGACTCACTTAAGGACGGCGGCAAAGAAAGCTTGCGCCACAGGGCCAAATGAACATCTCACTTAACAACATAAGTTTGTGGTGGTAAGTCGAGGACTACCTGTATTTGCGTCTGCTGGTGCAACGGTCCCTTCTTGTTTGCCACCATTGGTCGCCCAAAGAAGCCAAATTAAATCCTGTCCACCCATATATGAGCTTGGATGTGGCATGTGCATACAGGTTATCCCGGACTTACAACCGCAATTGAGCCCCCAATTTTCCGTTAAGTGAGTTTTACACCATTTTACCACCTTTTCTTGCCGCAGTTGCTCCGTGAACTCCCTGCAGTCGATAAATCGTGAAGTCAACCTGGCTTCTACTTTACTTGTCAGAAGGTTGAAGAAAAGGGGGATTGGATGTGACACACACAGAGACACACGGTCAGTTTTGGAAGCCATATTGAGACAGCCACGCGGCCACGTTTTGAGCCTGGGAAAATGAGAGTTTCTTGGAGTGTATGTAGTTCCAACAGGGGATTCGGAATAATGTCACCGTTCCACAAAACCTCCACTCCAACAAATAACTCTGAGACAGACATCTTCTCAAAAGTTTTAAACTGGCACAACTGGGGAATCCCAAATCTGAAAGTCTTGGGTTTCCTCGCAATAAGTCCAAAACTACAAATCCACCCCCTGCACCCATCGTCGCATCACATGCCCCGATCACCATCTGTCCCAACTTGAGACTTCCCCTCACTTAGGTGCAAAACAACATGACCTTGAATTAGAAAAAGAATTTTATTATGTCTTAACTACATACACTCCAAGAAATTCCCACCTCCCATTTTCCCAGGTTGAAAATGTGGCAGCGTGGGAGCATCTGGCCTCAAGATGGTTTCCAAAGCTGACGCACACACACCCCGGAACGCTGCCACCCGTCCTAAGTAGGAGTCGGTTGCCAAGCGGCTGAATTTCGATCGCGTGACCGTGGTGGATGCCACGGCGGTCATAAGTGTGAAAAACGGTGCGGGGTCCCTTTTTCCCCCCAGGCCTGTAATAGGGCCTCCCAGTGGGCTCTCCAAATCTCACACTGGGTGAACAATTTTTCCAGCAATCTGTAAGCTCCTGCGAAATGGCCAAGGAAAAACCCACTCTGAAGGATTCAAATGGACTCCTATCAAAAAAAAGGCAGGAAGACAACATGGTCTTCTACTTCTATGGTGGCCAAGCTGGAAAAGAGTTCGGAGAACTGGCCAATGCCACCTCTGAACTGGCCCTGCCCCCATCTATTCTCTGATCGGCTGTGTCTCCTTTTGTTGGAGGAGAACGGAGAACGGAGGAGAGGAGGAGAACGGAGCTGGAAAGCAGGTTAGTGGGGTGGGGAGGGAATGGGGATTTTGCAACGTATCCTTCCACCAGGAGTGGGGAGGGAATGGGGATTTTGCAGTAACCTTCCCCTGCCACGCCCACCAAGCCATGCCCACAGAACCGGTAGTAAAAAAAAACTTGAATCCCACCACTGCGGCCACCTATCCGGCTGGGCAGAGGCGCCAGGAAGGTCAGCGGGGCCTCCCCCCTGCGCCTCGGGTACCTGCGTCCGGACGGTATGTTCTGCACCTGCAGCCAAGAGTCGTCCACCGGCGGAGGCAGCGGGGTGCTAATGGTTGTGGTGTTGATGTCCCCGATGATGTTCAGGGCCTCTCTCAGGGCGTGGTACATGCGCAGCATCTCGTCGCGATGCTGGGCTTGTTCGACCGACTCCTCCATGAGGGTGTTCTGGTCACCGCAGGAGTAGAGGTTGGCGAGGAGCTCGGAGTGGATGAACTCCTTGGTCTGCCAGGGAGGAGGAAGAAGACAGAGGTCATGGTCTATATCAACTGCTGATTTGGTTCTACAGAGGAACGACTGAGTCTGTCATCTGCACCTCTGTGACTGTTTGGTTTGGCTCTGCAACCCAACAGGAGAGGCACAGACTCCAGAGAGGAATTAGGACTGCAGAACAAAACAACGGCTACCAACCTGCCTTCCATGGAGGGCCCGTCTACTGCACGAGTCCCAAAGAGGGCCATGAAAACATCTACGGACCCCTCACATCTTGGACATAAATTGTTTCAACGTCTACCCTCAAAATAATGCTATAGAGCACTGCACACCCGAACAACTAGACACAAGGCCAGTTTCCCCCCCCATGCCATCATTCTGCTAAACAACAAATTCCTACAACACTGTCAAACTATTTACTAAGACTGTATTGCTACTATTCTTCTCATACTTCCTATTACCTACCTCCTCCCACTTATGACTATAACCATGTTGCTTGTATCTTTACAATTTATATTGTTCTATTTGTTTTCTCCTATGATTTGATTGCTTATTTAGTAACCTATGGCTATCATTCAGTGTTCTATCTGATGATTCTTGATGAATGTATCTTTTCTTTTTATGTACACTGAGAGCATATGCACGAAAAACAAATTCCTTGTGTGTCCAATCACACTTGGCCAATAGAGAATTCTCTTCTCTTCTCTTCATCTGTACAGCTCTACGACGGTTCCTTCTTTTAGGTTAATGTCATCGCTTACTTTTTCTCTAGGCGCAACTTCTCTCTACTTCCAACATCCCAAAATAATCACTCCAAGAGATTATTGATGGCCCCAACTCACCCAGGGACCTTAGATGGTGATGGTGGGATTGACTGGTTTCCTTCACCCAACCATCTGAATTATCTTATCATTCCCTTTGAGGATCACCTCTGGTGACCGCTCGTCATCCCTACCCAGAGAAAAATTATTGGAGTTCTGGATTCCTCAAGGTTGCCCACTCTTGATTTAAATCTGAGAATTGATCACGCTTTGTCATCAATAGAAGTCTGTGAAACTGGATTTTGGCTTCACTTTGTGCGTGGGGGTGTGTCTTAGATTGAAAGGTTGAGTAGGTACAAAGGCTTTAAACCAATGAGTAAAGGAAACCAATGCAGTAACAATCCTCCCTACACAAGGACATCTTTGTGATTTAAAGTAGGCTGATAGAGAGGTCTTTCATCATATCTCCTAGCCAGGACTAAGTTCACTCCAACCCCATTCGATCGTGTCTCTCTCTTTTGTTTTCTGCCAATCTTCTAGGCTCTGGTGGATCACGAGATAATATATTCTTATTTGCCTGTTCCTTCATCATCAGTTTTCCTCACTCCTCATGTCAGATTAACAGAGTTGGAAGGGACCTTCTAAGTCATCTAGTCCAACCCCTCCCCGCCCAGGCAGGAGACCCTACACCATTTCTGACCGAGGGCAGTCCAGTCTCTTCTTGAAAGCCTCCAGTGATGAAGCTCCCACAACTTCCGAAGGCAACTTCTGTTCCAAGGGTTGATTATTCTCCCCGTCAGAAAATTCCTCCATATTTCTCATTTGAATCTCTCCTTGATCAGTTTCCATCCATTATCCCTTGTCTGGCCTTCAGGTTGACCCTTTCTGTGTCAGCCCTTCAAACTCTGGTATCATGTTTCCCCTGGTCCTTCTCTCCACTAGACTAGTTTGTTGGGAACCCCAAAGCCAACAGTTGACTTCGTTTCCGGTCAATCAACATGCTACTCCAGAACCTTCTCCTTTGAACTCAAAGAGGTGGCTCTAGGCCACCCATAAAACGCCATGCAATTCATATACATCATCTGGTGCGTCATACGTACATTGTTTATCATAAGGTGCATGATTGTCTTGGGCATCAGATCACGGATGGTTTTGTTGACGATGGCCATGTAGGAATCAACAAGGTTCCGGATCGTTTCCACTTGCCTCTCCAACTGGGGATCCATTGAATGCATTAAGCTGTCCGAGCCATTCTCTTCAGACTCCCCAGACTGCAGAAGACCGACGGGGGGATAAAGCAAGCCATTAACCATCAAAAGCCAAAGAGGTCCACGTTTTAAAACCTACCACCTCCTACTTTCCATGGAGCTCCTCTGATGCTCCTCTGAACTTCTAGATAACAAGCTTCATTAAGGAGGTTAGTATCAGATCCAAGGCTTAATCTGGACCTTCGTTGCCTACCCTTGCTTTGAGGAACCATCATCTTCCCATGCAGCTCATCTAAATAATTTACGGAAGAAAACGGAGACTTGTTCTCCCGAGATATGAAGCTTGATTTTGTAGGAGGACGAGTTTGATCCGGTTGATCAGTTTCATCTGATCACCATCATTACCTGCTTACACTGGAGCCTTCTAAAACACTTCTGCACCCAAGGTCTGCAAAATCAAATTCAGGTCCAGAATTAGGTTTCGGGTTTTTGGTGTTGATTTGAAAAACCAGAAAACCAATTCAGAACCAAGTTTACGTGTGAGGGGTAAAATCCACCTTGCAATTTGACGTGCAATTGTGACTCAATCCCTCAATCCCATGATGTTTGGATTTAATCTCTAAACCTATAATAATTTACGTTAAAATGTACATACCTGGCAGGCCCCGGGGACCAATGATTGGGAAACTAAATATTATATGCAGTATATATAAAAAATTACGTGTTTTTTTTTCTTTCTGATATAACTTATGAATTGGGGAGAGGGGGAATACGTTCCAGAGAAGATGAAAACAGGCAGAAAGGCATATTCTAGAAAAGAGATAAGAAACCAAACCAAGCAGGCAACGTAGTATGAAGTGGAGAGAAAAAAAAGGTGAAGGACAAAGTTTCTCTTAGAATATAGGGATAAAAGTTTAAATTAACGAAAAAAAGGAGTTTAAAAATGCGTCCAATGGGGAAAAAAAAAAGTATAATTGAAAGGAAAATGGCACAGGAAAAGAAGGGTCCGTCACTTACTTTATCTTTGTCCTGTGAGGCCAGTTTGAGCACACACGCACAAAAAAAAACAACAAGAAAAAAATGTGATTTTTAAAAAAGAAGGTAGGTATATTTCCCGGCTAAGTATTCAGTGTATTCATGGATATAATTGGAACGGGATCTTTACACAAAGTCAAAAGGCAACCAATTAAAAATAAAATTGGCTTAAGGGCAACATTGAAAGACCTTCTGAATGAGGTTGGAGATGGATCCTTATGGGGAAAAAAATGTATTTCGGTGATCTTTAAGCACCGGGAATGATTTGCTAACACGTCACCGATCTGTCAGTCTTAAACATCACTTCTTAAAACAAGCGATTTGCCAGCAAAGCCATTTTTTCTCAGCGTTGGTGCAGGATTGAATGGCGAGCGGACGAAACTCGAGGGATTAGCACCCATAAAATGTAACACTTGGATGGGGAGTGCAAAGGAAGAAAAATTAAAAACAAAAACAAAAGGAGACAACAGAAAATTGGTTGAAAACTGAAATCTTAACAGAACACAATGTATGGTGGAGCCAATGAAGGTGCTGTTGTTACAGAGCCTCGCCAAGAGATGGCGCCATTGTCCTTCTGGTGGACCATTCAACATGGCAGCCCACCAGTTAGGATCAAAAGCTCATATTGGGGTCTCTTTCCTTTCTGGCCTCCTCTGCACATTTACGAACAATCTTGGAAAACGATGTTTGCAAGAGTCTATTTCATGTTGTCGTTCCCTGGCTTCTCCTCCTGGGGGATACTGCAGTTTAGGAATGTCCAAACCTTGGGAATTTGAAGACTTGTGGACTTCAACTCCCAGATTCTGGGAGTTGAAGTCCACAAGTCTTCAAATTCCCAAGGTTGGACACCCCTGCTGTAAGGTTCCCCTCGCACATACGTGCCAGTCGTTTTCGGCTCTGGGGGCAGTGCTCATCTCCGTTACAAAGCCGAAGAGCCAGCGCTGTCCCAAGACACCTCCGTGGTCATGTGGCCGGCAGGACTAAACGCCGAAGGCGCGCGGAATGTTGTTCCCTTCCCACCAAAGGGGTCCCTATTTTTCTACTTGCAATTTTTTTTTACATGCTTTCCAACTGCTTGGTTGGCAGAAGCTGGGACAAGTAACGGGAGCTCACTCCGTGATGCGGCGCCAGGGATTCGAACCACCAAACTGCTGACCTTTCCAATTGACAAGCTCAGCATCTTAGCCCCTGAGCCACCGCTTGTCCCTTTACACTCCTTTACACCCCTGCTGTAGATGCTCCCAATTTTAAACCGAGGGGGCCCTCTTTGATAAAATTAAGACTTCTCCACCACGCATTGCATCCTGCAAAGAACACGACTTCTGTTTAAAGTAGGGGAAAGGAAGAAGTTTAGAATTCTTCCTCCTCTTCTTGATTTCCACCCAAATCGGTGATCTAAACAAACGCAAGAACTAAGTCTCAGTGAGATGGTTCCATTTCCAACTTTCACTCCTGCTCATGTTTCATTTTCCGCCGCTCCTCAACTCACCGCAACGCGTTCTGGGTAAACTCCAGCCCGCAGGAAGGACGCCTTCCAACTATCTACCTCCTCCTGGGTTTCACACGCCAGCTCCAGTTGTCGGTAATCTTTGTAAACATTCCTGGGTGGTGGCGGGGGAAGGAAAGAAGGTGAAACCTTTCGTAGACTTGCCTACTTGCGGAGGTCATCCTCTTGAGCTGGTCCAGAAGAAGATCCTACCTTTGCTCTGTATTGAAGAGGGCAAAGATGTGCTTGCTGGACATGAAACTTTTCTCGATGTCGCGCACCTTCAAGTTGTCCACCGGCAGCATGTACTTCTTCTCTTTCTCCTAGAAGACAAAAGCCATGGACGGCATGTTATCTCAAAGCTAGTTCTACCAAGACACTCTATAGACGCTCTCCTTGTCTCGCGATTGACGATTCAGGCAGCTGTGGTCCCAAACATCTGGTGACTTTTTTTTTTTTTACAAGGGGTGGAATGGACACTGTGAAGAACACAAATAGAAAGTAACAATTATGGGATCTGGATAAAATCAGAATAGAGCTGGAAGGGGCCTTGAAGGTCTTCTAGTCCAGCCCCCTGCTCAAGCAGGGGATCCTATATTATTTCAGACAAGTGACTGTCCAGTCTCTTCTTAAAAACCTCCAGAACAACTTCTGGAGGGAAACAACTGTTCCACTGGTCAATTGTCCTCACTATTAATTCCAGGCTGATTCTATCTTTGATTAGCTCCCAACCATTGTTTCTTATCTTTCTTTCTGGTGCTTTGGAAAATAAGTTGACCTCCCCCCTTCTTTGTGGCAGCCCCTCAAATATTGGAATATTGCTATCATGTCCCCCGCTAGTCCTTTTCTCTAGACCAGCCAAACCCAAATCCTGCAACTGTTCTTCATAGGTTTTTATTGCCAGGCCCTTAATCATCTTAATTGCTGCTCTCTGCACTTTTTGCAAAGTCTCAACATCTTTTTTGTAGTGTGGTGACCAAACTTGGATGCAGTATTCCAGGTGTGGCCTTACTGAGGCTTTATCAAGCGGAACTAATACTTTGCGTGATTTGGATTCGATGCCTCTGTTTATACAACCAAAGATTGTCTTTGCCTTTTCGGCTGCTGCCGCACACGGCTGGCTCACGTTTAAGGGATAGGGATCGCACACTAGAAGTCCAAGGTCCCTCTCACAGCCACAGTTTTTGAGCCAGGTTTCACCTAATCTGTGCTTGTACCTTTGGCTTTTCCTGCCCAGGTGTAAAAACCTTGCTTTCGTCCACATGAACTTTCATGTCGTTGGATAGAACCCATTAACTTTATCTCAATGGGACTTCCACCCCCAATCCTTGTTATGGTCCACTGGCAGCCTGCGGAGACGGCAGCAGAATTGGACAGTGGGGAAGAACGGGGACCAGTCCAGGAGTCTGGAGAGGACTCGGACAAGGGTCCTGCATCCGATATAGAGATGGGGCCAGAGCCATCGGGAGTTATGTGCTGACTCCGGAGCCTCCAGAATCTGACAAAAGTGAGGCATAGGAACGAAGGGAGCCTGTTCCCAGTGTGTGCTTGCGCAGAGCTGCTAGAAGGCAAGAGCAGCTAAGACAAAAGGGGCAACTCAGGAGTAGGGCTTGGAGGTGATTGGCCCCTCCCATAAGACATAAAGGAGGAGCAAAGGGACATGAGCCTTTGCAGGAAGCAACATTGTTCGTTCTGGTCAGTTTGGAACCTGAAAGCTCCGTGGTGAATTTGTGCTCAGTTTGGTTTGTGAAAGACTAAAGTACTTTAGTTGTTGGCAGCACTTCAAGTAAGATAAAGGTGCGTCCTTATCAGACTTCTCCCGAAGGACTTTGGCAGACTTCCATGGGACTGATTATAACCGGTGAAGACTCATTCTGGGCTGTGAATGACGATAATTCTCAGCTGTTGAACTAAAATCAAAGGGGTTTGGATTTAACGTGTGCTTGTTGTTATCCCTCGTTTGTCTGACTTCTAGAAGTCTTCCATCAACCCTGAAGCTAATCTGACCATAGCCATTTTGATCCCCCACTGGAGATGAGAGATAGGGATGCGGGGAATAGAGAGAGCTGTGAGTTTTGCAGCCAAAATAAAATGCTTTCCTTTGGGAACCAAGGACAGTCTAACACCTGCCCAGAGAGAGAGGAGGAGCGATGTTACCAGGCAACTGGAGAGCACCTTGATTGGACCATGCGACCTGACTGTTTGGGGGAAGGGGAAAAACTTTTACTTTTAATGAGGTGAAAACGCGGAAATCTTCAGAGTCGGTTTTCACCAGAACTGTGCCAATAGGATACACGCAATAGAACGATTCTTTGAGGAACCGATTTGTCTCGGAGGTTTACTTGCTACGGGTATATTACCCCAACACCTTTTTCTAATTAAGAGAGGCCGAGCACTATTGCAAGTATCCTAAAGGGGGATCTCTTTTTCTACCAAGACCATCCTGGACTCTTGGAATCAACTCTTGGCAGGGCGTTTTATGCATCACGGGCCTTGACTGGAAAAAGTGAAGAGCTGCAGTTGCTCACAGCCAAAAAACGAATGGAACGAAGAAAGAAAACCACATGAAACGCCCCAAATGGGTCCCGGAAGGTCCATTTGGAATGGTGGCCTCCAACTTAAGGTAGTCCTGCTGGCCATGAGCTTGTCTACTCCTCCATTAAAAAGTCTCCAAGTATGCCATGTGCCCACCACCCCAAAGATAGCATGCCCCAAATTTGCTGTGATTGCATTTTATTTTTAGAGTCATGGAGGAATTTTTCTTCTGCCGTTTTAAAAGACGCAACTTCTTGCAAAGGAAGCGTGCGAGCATGGAAAAATGGATGCCTTATTTTTCTTCAAAAAAAAAAAAAAAAAAAACCAACCCCACCCCTCCCCAGAGTCAGGTTTTCAAGTCTCTTCCAGATGTTTGAGGCCATGACCCCTTCAAAATCTTGGAAATGGGGCTGAGGGCTGCAGAGCCTCAATTGCTTAGAAGGGGCCAGGCTGCTCTGGTCATTGTGGTGCATACAGTGCGTAGAACTGAAGCCCAAATGTAAAATGATTTCATTAGCAGAAAGGACTTACACCAACCGATCTAGGCATTGCTCAGCGGAGAAATCTTACAGAAATACCAGTGAACCAAAACTTGAATTAAAAGGGGACGGGAGGCTAAAACATACGAAGAACGGTTGCAGGAACTGGATACGTCTAGTCTAATAAAAAGAAGGACTAGGGGTGACATGACAGCAGTGTTCCAATATCTCAGGGGCTGCCAGAAAGAAGAGGCAGTCAAGCTATTCTCCAAAGCATCAGAAGGCATCACAAGAAGCAACGGATGGAAACGAATCAAGGAGAGAAGCAACTTAGAACTAAGGAGAAATTTCCTCTGACAGTTAGAACAATTAATCAGTGGGACAAGTTGCCTCCCGAAGTTGTGAATGCTCCAACACTGGAGGTTTTTAAGACGAGATTGGATAAGCATTTGTCTGAAATGGTGCAGGGTTTCCTGCCTACGCAGTGGGTTGGACTAGAAGACCTCCAAGGTCCCTTCCAACTCTGTTATTCTATTCTATTCTAAAATGTACATTTAAAAAATGGTAATCGTGTTGAACTGGACGTTGGAAAGTGAAGGAAGACCAAGAAAACAACGAAGAGAGATTTTTTTCCAAAGTTATTTCCCTTATTTTGCATCGTCTAAAGATTTCTTCTATCTTGGTTATCTCAAACAGTTTATCTTCCTCCTTAAGAGGACGGGAGGTTATGTCTTCCTTTCCCAGGACCAATTTGCTGGAAGTCTCCCTGCTCAGAAGAGTCTCCAAAACCCCAAATATTCAGCTGAGCTTCGTGGCAGCTCTGACTTTGTCTGCCCGATGATTAAGAACCCAACCGAGGTGTTGCAAGCGATGGTCATTTAAATGCTTCCAGATGGGATGGAAGCTTTATGGCTCTCTCATCAAGAGATCTGGCAGGCAGGAGAGCAGACAGCTGGATCGCACCCTTGGCTGGCCCATATTTAGGGTTCCTCCACCTTGTTTTGGGTCAGCCATGAGGTTGTAGCCTTATTGTCTGGACCTGGGTGTCAAGGAAAGACCCTCCTAGACACCAGATTCATCATTTTGAGCAAAGTCGAATGGTTTGGCTAAACCCGATGCCTTGGAAGAGAACTTAGGGTGCCCCAAGGAAAGTCAAGAGAAGAAGAAGAAGAAGCCAACAGGTCTTCTTCTGGAACAGAGGTCACCAACCTTTTGGACCTCAGGGACCACCAAACTCATAATTTTAAATCCCGCAGACCAGAGGCCCCAGGAAAATCCCCCCAAAAAGTCTGCAGGAAAATTCCCCACCCTGTTTTCCTACCGATCGATCATTCTTTATTGGGGATCGCAGGATAGCGTCTCCAGCTCTGTTCTCAGGGAGAGAGAGAGACTTTTGGCTCCATGCAAGGAAAACAGCAGAAGCAGCCAAAGTCTTTCTTTCTCTCCCCCAAACTCCACCAGAAAGGAGTCTTTGCAGCCTCTTGGAAATAGGAGGCCTTGCAGGGTCCCAAAGACTCATTTCTGGTGGAGTTTGGGGGAGAGAAAGAAAGACTTTGGCTGCTTTCCTTGCGTGCAGCCAAAAGCAGAAGAAGAAAGAAGCGGAAAGAAGCAGGCTGGTGGCCAGGCGAGATGCGTGGGGCGCGTGGGGCAATTTCCCACCTCCACCCTTTCCCCCCTCCCCTCACTAGCTTGTGTTGTTCGCAATGCAAGCAACGCAAGCCTTGTGTTCCCGCAGGTCATGCGGGCGACCTTGTGTTCCCGCCCAGCCTGGATTAATTGCTTTGGGGGTGACATTTCTCTGCGGACCACCAAAATTTTCTCACAGACCACCAGTGGCCCCCGGAAGATACCCAGATGGTCCCGCTCCTTGCTAGAGCCTCCGGTAACAGAAACTCAGAGTTGGAAGGGACCTTGTAGGTCATCTAGTCCAACCCGCTGCCCCAAGCCTCACTCCGACCTTGAGGGAGGAGAGACACCTTCAAAAACCCACCCTCCAGAAGGCGAACGGAAGGAGTTGAAAATGTTTAGCATCTTGGCTTTGTCGATTTTTTTTTTCCTCTCTGGGTTGCAGCTAAGAGGTTGCAACAAGTCAGGTTCTGGGCCGCCGCCACCCCTTCGTCTCTGCTTCTCATTTTCTGGAGGCCCAGAGGCGTTCTTCAAAATAACAGCAATGCTGGCATTTGGCTTCCCAGCCGGCCCGACTTCCCATTTCAATGTTTTTTTCCTCCTCCTCCTCCTGCTCCAAACTAAACATCGCGTTGCTGATTAATTTCAACCCTTTTGTCAGTTTTGGCTTGCCCACCCGGCCG